GTTTATAACATGTGTATATGTGTTATATATTACTATTCTTATTTGTCTTTCTTTCATTCCATTATGCACCATCCACCACCTTCTGTTTTTCTCCTCTACCCAAAGGTTGTCTGGAAGAGATCGCTTAAGCGATAAGACCGCCTTTTATATCTATACTAGCTACTAGCCCCGGCTTCGCCTGGGTATACATGTATTATACATATAAACCTTTCTCTTGAATCACTCTATCTATTAAAACAAAACCACTTCAAAATCTGTGGCTAGCTTTTTAAGCATACATAGAGACGGACAGACAGCGACAGCGACTTTTTTTATACTATGTAATGATGATACTCTAAATATTCTGTTTTCTATTGTATTCTTTTTTTGTTAAGATGCAATAATTAATAATAAATAAAATAAATGAATAAATAAATAAATAAATAAAAAAAAATTATAATAATAAATGGTATAAATTAATATGAAGAACATACATAATTTGTTAAATATTAATGTTATAAATATAATAGATGTATGAGTTTTAACGTAAAATTGTATTCAGTTTCTGCTTATTAAATAGTGATAATGTAAATACATAGATTATCGTGCCATAGTGAAAAGATAAGTAATTACAGTGCGAAATAGCTAGTCTATTTCGCACTGTAATTACTTATCTTTTTGTTGAAATCTAAGATCTTGTAATTATTGATTCTATGTATGATAAATATGGTATACCAAAATAACATTTTTTACAATTTTTCTCTGTCTGTCTGTCTGTCTATTTGTTCCGTCTAATCTCTGAAATGGCTGGACCGATTTTGACGGGACTTTTTTTGGCAGGTAGCTGATGTAATAAGAAGTAACTTAGGCTACTTTTATTTTAGAAGAATAAAATTAAGTTGCACGTGGACAAAGTTGCGGGTACAGCTAGTCGATAAATAAAAACAAATTACCAAATGTATGTCAGAATTAATGTCAATCTAACCGGAGTAAACTTTGTAAAAAGTCGTCTCCGTCTCTATTTCACACGCTAATTTTGGAAGCTGTATTTCGTTTAAATGAAGATAAAGCAGTGAAAGTATCAGTTATGGAGGCATAACAGTCTTCCGGAATGACAACCCAGGACCATTCCCGCATTGCCATTCCAGAGACTAAAGTGACATGACGTCCGCGATATCACGAGTCACGGCCGCGGTCATGATAAAGGTGATATATCTTTTTTTAGACTACTGCTGGTCGCACTTGGCCTTTTCAGCTTCCTCGGAGGATATGGGAGAGTGCAGATACCACTCTAAACCCGCGGAAGCACTTATGGAGCGGATGAACGCCAACTCCCGCCTGACGGATACGACTTTAGTCTTAGGGAGCTTCGGCTCAGGCCGTTGTAATTTCGATGCCCGTTTGAATTGGACGGGGGATCTTTCCCAGGGGTGTAATGTACATAGGACTGTTCATGTATTTATATAAGCGACGGTGCTCCCATGTATTGAGGCGTAAATTTCTTCGCCTTTCCAATTACCTAAAAAAAATAATATATTCAAATATACAATTTAGTCTATTTGATTTAATATTATACAGTTTTTTATTCCTTATGGATGATAGCAGAATGGTGCACCCGACTGCGCGAACGGTTTACGCTGGCAGGGTACCACTGGAGAAAAACATGAGAATGCGGTCAGGCGAGTTCACCCTTCGTGGTAAATTCACCATGACTTATCACGATGGTTTCCATGGAGATCCACGTGGAAGTCATCCTGACATGGTACATTGCTAGCAATGGAATTATGAGTTCACATTTCTAAGAAAAACCTTCCACCCAATAGTATACTATTACAATACTTGGCTCTGTTAACTGTCTTCTCTGTTATAAAACACTATTACAAGAATACGAAATTCTCGGTTATGGGACAAAAGAAAATATTAATATTTCTTGCGCAACCCTATTTATATTATACGCAAGGAAAATAGACATACATGCACATATTCATGCTAAGTTATTTTTCCTACAAAGTGCAAAGGAAAAACTGCTCTATGCTAAAACAGTACAGTTTATATTTCAAAAGCTTTATATTCTTTCGAAGATTATATATTCTGGTACATTATGTTTGTTGATGTAATAGTGGTTTTCATAATTTCCTAAATTGGTAACGTCAATGTTTCTAATTATATCTATATCTAGTACTAAGTTACTTAGTGAAGATAGCTAAGTAACTTCAGTAAGTAAGGTAGTAAGTAGAGAAAACTAACTATTTTACCTTGTAACTTATACGTAACTCTTGCTTCATTCACTTTGTAAACTCGTCTCATATACATCCCACGACAACTATAACTGGATGCCTGGATGCGGATATACGAAATACGCAACATATTAAGTATATATTATATATACGTGCACATATGTACATATCAGGAAACTTAATGATAGCCAGTCTATAGATATTTTTATTGTTATAGATTTATATTTATTGTTGTCGTCAATATACTTACTTCATGAACAACAGTATGGGCGTCACGTCGTCATGTTATCACGGTGTATCATATTCTAGAAACATGCCTTTTATCCTATAATTGAAAGAACTAATGGAGTAATTCTTTTTTTTATATGAAATTTAAATTTAGAATAGGAATGTGTGCAGATTCCATGGCTTTATTTTATACTTATACATTTCAATCCCTCACATCATCAATTACAATGTAACAACGAAAATATGTTCCTAATTCAAAATAGGTGTATGATTAGCAAAAGTATTTTTTTTTCTTAAAACTGATGTTTAATAATGAAATATTTCATTAAATAAATGAAATTTCAATTTAAATTTAGAACGTGTGCAGGTGTCATGACGTCAATGTGCGACGTCAGTCCTATCGTCTAGGCGAAATAGTTTGTGACTAGAAGCATTTAATTTAGTTCGCTCTCGATTTAGAAAGGCAATAGGCTACTCAACGTCCAGGCTATAAAGTATTGCTTCCAGAAAATATGGGTTGTTAAGCAGTTCTTTTGCGTTTTATCAGATGAACTAAAGAGCGAAAGTACTGTAAACTAGTTCATGTAGTATACAAGCCTAAAAAGTAGATTTGGACCACAACATAGGTAAGATGTAATAGTTTATGTGTAGACTGGTAAAAAGTTTACAGCTGTGTACCTTGTTACCGTTTTATATCAGCGCCATAAATAAAATATTTATTTTCAAATTAAACATTTTACGAACACTAATTGCGCAGGTCGAGCTTGACATTTATTTCTTCTCCAATGTTTCTCTAATCGAGAACAATTGAACTGGAAAATTATATAGTTTGATTTAAAATGTAACTATTGTTGCGAGTTCCAATTTCATTTCATTTTATACTATCTTCACGAAGTTTTTTACGGAGTGGGTAGAGAATCCGAATATAGTAGCTTTTAGCCTTACAAATATAGATAGGTGCCGAATCCGGAGATATTTTGATTATTAGATCAGATTATACATTACTTATGTTTTCCCTGGTTAATTTAAATATTATTTAAAAAATTAATTGTTATAAAATTTGTATGAAACCTAAACAAGTAAAAAATCATTTGTTTTCAAAATGTGTGGCAAAATTAACCATATCATTTATATTGCGTAACATACAAATAAAAAAATGCATCGTAATCATTTGGGTACTAGGATGCCATAGGCAGAAATTCATATACAGATACACAGACATGTCAAACTTAGTCAAATTAAGTCCTTCAAGTAAAGAGCGGTGTAACGCTCTTTAGATTTGGAGGACTTAGACGACTTCATTTCCTGTAATTTAGCTGCCTTATACTTACTTAACTTATACCTACACCCTACAATCGTAATACTGCTTACAAAGCAAGCTGAAGTAGGTTAGACTGATGTACCCAATTATATATTTTTTTGTCAAATTCTAGTCAACGCACGCACAACTGGTGTTTTATCAACACATTAAAACCTCTAAGAATTACCACGCTGACTTCTTCTGGCATTTGGTTGTTATTACCCTGGTTGTTATTACCCTGGTTGTTATTACTATTGTTGCTACACCAAGGTATTTAGTGTTGTTATCACTTACGGTTTTTCGATAGTAGTGGGGCACAAGATGGCGGCCTATGAACAGTGACTCGGACATTATACGAGCAGCCTGCGAATGCGGATGCGTCCTAATAGAGTACCTAATAATTTCAAGATTTTCTTCTAGTTCCCAAGTATGATGTTTACATTAAATACTGGTTACATCGAATTCAGTGCTTCATATAAATACATTATACAACTATCGAATCTTAAGGTAGACTGTATAAACCAACCATTTAACTTTTGTTTGTCTTACCAAGTTTAAGTTTCCTCAGATTTGAATATGTAGCTAATAAGTTGATGGTATTCGACAATGTAGTGGAGTGGATGGGCGTTATATAATGTTTACTAAGTTTAGGTTTCAATAACAAACAATTATGTTTAATTTCAATTGTAGAGACTTTTTTAATTAATGATAATGGAGTAATGTGCCCGAATCAGTGTTTTTTTTCTCAGAACAATTCACACAGCGCCATCTAGTCCCGAGTTAAGCTAGATAAAGCTTGTGTTATGGGTACTAGATAACTGATACAAATACATAGATATTTTTTTCGTAAATACATACATATTATACGTAGAAAACACCCATTACAAAATGTTTGTGCCAAATGAGGAATCGAACCCGCGACCATCGGAAGTAAGGCGGTATCCTAAATTGCTAGACCACCGAGCCTACAAGACAACTGATATATATACAAAATTTTTTTTTCTAAATATAAACATAATATGTGTATACATAGAAAACACCCAAACCAACACAAACAGTCATACTCATTAATATAAATATTTGAACTGTGCGAGGGATCGAACCCGGGACCATCGGTAGTAAAGCGGCGTGCTTAACCGCTAGACTACCGAGGCCGTCGTAATATTATGTTTGCAAGTTGCAAGCATACAAAAATAATATTTATATTGTTAATGACATTACATAATATACTAAATGTGTATTTTTTATTGTTACAGAGTAAAACCCTGGATTTGGCACTAGTGTCAATATACAGGGGAGGTGTTGAGTTGGCGTCTATAAGCCAATATTCTGGCTCGCCGTACAACACTACTGATAGGTAAGTTATAAAATCAATACCTAATACCTAATCTGTTTCAGCAGCATGGTTCAGCAGCTGTTTTATATCTATACTAGCTGTCCCGGCAAACGTTGTTTTGCCATATAAATTAATAACGGTATAAAAAAATAGGGGTTGATCATAGAAGGGTGAAAATTTAGGATTGTATGTATTTTTGTATCATAAAAACATAGAAATTAAAAATTTTGTCTAAAAAGTAAAAAAAACATTTTAGGGGTGGACTACCCCTAACTTTTAGGGGGATGAAAAATATATGTTGGCCGATTCTCAGATCTACTCAATACGCTCACAAAATTTCATTCGAATCGGTCAAGCCGTTTCGGAGGAGTATGGGAACGAAAACTGTGACACGAGAATTTTATATATAAGATAAATAAATAACCCAGCGCCATGTAGTCCCACGGTAAGCAGACCTTGTTTTATGGGTACTAGACAACTGATATAAATGTTTAATTTTGTTTTTATAAATATACATAGAATATACCTAGAACGATACAAACAATCATACTCATGAATGAATGGACGAATGAACGGTGAAAAACAAATATTTGCACCGTCCAAGGAATTACATCATGTTGATAATAATTATATAATCTAAAATTATTGTAGTTGTAATTTGATCACTTTTTTTATAGTCAAAAAGTTTACCCAGTTTGTTCGAGTTATTGTACATAGTGAAAAAATAGTATTGACCTTTTACGATGTCTGTTGAATTGACAAAGTTACATGTATTATTGCCACCACTATAGTATCAAAATTGAGGAGATATAAATTGGTGTAAATAAATAAACTAGGAAAAAAGTAAATTCCGTTTATACATAACAAATTTTATTTGTCCTAATACTGTTTATAATAATTAATAAACATTGCTTCAATATTAAACTGGTGCTAAAAAGATTAGCACCAGTTTAATAATACAGGACAATAAAGTATTGTAAACAAATATATATTGTGAATGAAATAGCATTCTTATTTATAAGTACAGTAGGTGTAATTCAATCTGACTGCCTATATGAAATCTTTGGAAAAATATTATTTCATTTTATTTTTAAATTGGAGTGTATGATATGATATTTTTATCATTTTATTTTTATAGTAGCATGTATAAATTAATTTATCTTGTATAAAAATTTGCCTAATGTTATTTTTGTTGCAATAAAGGGTATAATGAAAGGGTAATTTAAATTTAGTTATTAATATTCAAACTTTCTCACGTTCATAAGAATTATAAAGACAGTATAAACGCCACATGGTTACAGATTTTTCTTTCTTGTGCTTACGTAAGTTTGTCAACTTTCAGAAATGACTTGTCATCCTACCCACGATCCTAAACTTGAACGATGACGTGCATTTTAGCAAATTTGAACGCGTTTAATACTTAAAAATCTTCTATGTCACCGTGACTCGTTTATAGGGTCGAGTTAGGAATTTATGATCACTATACTATGATCTAAGTACTTGAATGAAGGACTATGATTCAGTATTTTTTTAAGATACGGCAATGGAAAACAAGAGTGAGGTATCCATTGTATATCGATGGATACCAATTTATTTCCATCTTCTCACAGACACATTTGACTTTCGCATTTATAATACTAGTATTATAAATTCGAAAGTCAAATGTGTCTATCTGTTTGTTATATTGTCGTAACTAAGCGGCTGAATGGATCTTTATGAAATTAAATGAAGATAGATCGTATCAAGATTACGAACATAAGCGATCTTTCATTTAAATAAAGCATAGAAAGTCGCGGGTTGCAGCTAGTATGAAAATAAATACGACAGCGAGCATTATCGGATGTTTAATACGTTGTCGTTCCTGAGGAATATGTTGTAATGCCTCAGTACACGAAATTATCACTACGCTATCTCACCTTTTAAATATAAACACAGTGTATATATATCAAGCCACAATAATCAGTCATATGAGCCATGTATTATGTTAAAAAATGAATTTCAGTGTACAAATAAGAAAAGATTTGAATTTTGTATGTATTTTAGTAATGGATAAACTCAAAAGATACTTGATCAATATTATAAATTCGTTTATAGAAAGTTATATTATCATCCTGTAACATAGACTATATACCTCAGGATATAGTAATTTATTAATAAGCAACAACAATCAATATACTGCCAAGACTCGTGTCCTGCGTTATAACGGTTAACAAAACAAACGAAGTGAAATCCACAGCCGAGGTATTGAAAGTGCTGAAGTTTGTCCGAGAAGAGTGTTGGAAACACGCACAACTTCTATACCCGGGTCCAAGTTATAAGCGCTTGTAACGATGTGTGAAATTGCTTTTGCTGTTGTATTACCAAAGCATAGTTTAATAAGATATTATGTTTATATATTGTTATTTTTCTTCATCTTTCTCAGCATTATCTTGCCTTTATGCCATTATTTGTTGTCATCGAAGTACTTGTTCTATATCTACGTATTTTTGTACTTACATATCTTTTTCCATTCGTCCCAATCAGCGACATGGACTTATATATTATTCTACCTTTATGCATATATTCACACAGTCGATCCATCTTTTATTTGATCATCCATCATCATCACTTTATATCTATCCTCTTTGATATGAAACAAATTCAAGAAAGCATGATGCTCACTGCACTTGTGTGTATGTATTATATTATATAATATTTACATTACTGCTTTTAGTTGTGTAACTTTTATTTCTGTTGCTTTATCATAATAATTTATTGTTTGTTTTTTAATAACTCTTATTATATTAATATTACAATATGCGATGTAAACAAACTCTGGTGTAATAAATTCTACTTTATTACACCAGAGTTTGTTTCATCGCACGTTTGTAACACATTTGTATGACATTTGTATTCATGAGTATGATTGTTTGTATCGGTCTGGGTGTTTTCTATGTATAATATGTATATATTTACAAAAAAAATATCTATGTATATGTATCAGTTATCTAGTACCCATAACACAAGCTTTAACTAGCTTAACTTGGGTCCAGATGGCGCTGTGTGAATTATCAAAAAAAAAATTCGTAACTCCAGAATTCTTGAAGCATTTTTGCTAGTATAAATATAAACTCGTCGTCTATAACTTGCACTCCACCGCATTACTTGGTGGAAGCAAGCTAAAGATTAGTACGGAACTCAATTAAAAGCACCAAGTTTGGAAGATCGTGATCCGTGTAATTAAATTTTCCCAGCAAAAGTGCTGCGTGACAGGAATGTGCAAGCTCACGTCGTATACTATGCAACTATCTTCGTAACTACACTATAATATCTCAGGATATACCGTGTTGAGATTATTGTGTTGAGTAGTGTCAAAGAATTTATGGAATTTAGTAATTTAATGCATAATCTATAGTAATTATATATGCCAATAATTCCAAAGACATGTTTATTTTAATTTAATTGAAGAAATAATCAGAATGACATAAATATATTAATATATAAAAAATTGCACGCCTGTATGCAGGCTGAATACACTGGACATTATATTTAATATTGTATACAACTATATGTACTGTATTCTGCGAATAAATGAATTGGTTTAAAAAAAAAGAATAGTCTTATCTATTAACTAGCTGATCCGCCTTCCGAATATTCAGTTATGTTTCCGAAGTTCGTCTGCCTCGTACTTCTTTAACATTTATTACTATATTTCGCCTAATTTATTCATATCTTTTCAAATTATAACCTACTAGCTACCCACCTCGGCTCAGCACGGATGTACATGTATTATATATACAAACCTTCCTCTTGAATCAGTCTATCTATTTAAAACAAACTGCTTCAAAATCAGTTTGTTTTAAAGACCTAAGCATACATAGGGACGGACAGACAGCGACAGCGACTTTATTTTATACTATGTAATGATGTGTTATTCTGATGTATAAGTTACTTACAAACTTTCGCGTTAATAATTAGTAAGATATGGACCTTGACAGGCGCAACAAGTTATGATGAAAAACAGTAGCCTGATTTGATTATTTTCAAGGTGTGTGTTAAATATCCGCTAACATTATAATCAGCGACACACAAGTTTCTTGCTCGTTCTCCTTTTGATGAATAGCTTTCCGAATGAGCAATAGTTTATGATGACTATTCTAAATTGCTTAAATTAGGTTTATTTAAATAAAGGATTATTTATTCTATTCTGTAAAAAGTTAAAATTCTCCGGTAGTTTTATTATATATTTTTATCGACATTTCCCGAGGACTAGATGAGTGTAATGTATGTTTCGAAACTGGAAGCATTAATTATATTATATTAGATATAAGAATAGTCTTACATAACGGCCCTAATGAGAGTCTAAATGCGGAAAACAGATTTCAATATAGAAGAATCTAAAAATATTAAATAACGTATATGTATAAACGTATATAAGTGTTAAAATATATTGTAAATGAATATGTTCTTTTGATATTATATTTGAATTTTGAGAATAGTAGCCTACTTACTAGTTACTTACGTAGTACTTTATGAAAATTCAGATTCCAATTGAATACAAAATGAACAATTAGGTAATATAATTTGTCTGCAAAAGCAATTTGTTTTAATACAACTGGTTATGATTTAAGAAAGAAGAATTTTTGGGCGGGATATTTTTTTTATTATAAATACTAGTACCTATATCTTGTGATGTCTACATTTTTGCCATTTCCAGTTAGCACTGTAAACGCAGCTTCATCATTATGTTATCCCACATATATTGTCCGTGGTACAATTATAGTAATAATGTCCTTTGGCAAGTAACACAGCGCCATCTAGTCCCAGTCCAGTTATGCATTTTTTTAATTCATACATAATATACATAGAAAACACCCAGGCCAATACAAACAATCATACTCATAAACACATATATTTGCATCTTGCGACGAATCAAACCCTAGACCATCGGAAGTAAAGCGATGTGCTAAACCGCCAGACCACTGTGGCCATTTTCTATTATAATTATAGTTTGAATAACATTATCTTTGATACGATGACGATAATATCTCAAACACAAGGGAATAATTTAATCAAAATGGGAGTTATTGGAAACGTTTGAAGTGTTATTATACTTAAGTACGGGGTAAGAGTAGCTTTTGTGTGCATTAATAATTATATTATGAATTTATTATTAGTATTAAGTTTAGAGCATTGTAGCCCAGTGGATTACTAACTTGAATTAGATCGGGAGGTCGCGTGTTCAAATATAGACATGAAAATATAATGACTTTTGAAGACACATCATTCATGTGTCTTTAAAAGTAACTTACATTCGAGATATAGAAAAGAATGGTGAATATATTATATTCTTACCCTATAACTAAACTACGTATTGATTTATAATGTACTTAGTACCTATAGCCGTCCATAGGATACGGCAACGGTTAACCATCAGTTTGGCCGTATGCTTGTTTGCTATCATCATAGAATAAATAATGTAAAAAAAGAGGCATAATATTAATAAATTGTAGTAAAACTTTATGTAAAAATGTCTAAAACAATAACTTTATAGAGTATCTACGTATCTAAAAGGCAAGTTATAAATTTGTATTATTTTATTTTTAGGCTACTATAGAACTAACTTAAAAAGTTCTAGGACAATACCCGTAAAAAATTCAGTTGAAGTGAGAAATATTGATACTACTAAGTAATAAATATGAATACTAAATATATAAATATGAATAATAAATATGAGTCTAAATATAATTATAATTTAAATCAATAAGCAAAAATAATAGACATACTGTTAAAACTTAATGGTTACCTTATAATAATTTCTGTTGACTCAAATACAATTCTTCACTGATATAAAAACAATTTTCTCGATAAAATGGAGCGTAATGAGTCTCTAAAAATACTAGACTTGTGAATTGCTTTTAAGTATTTTCTGTTTTGTCCACAGGCAGGTGAATTTAAAAATAAGTCCTCAGCTCGGCGACTGCTTTAATTGGAGTATGGCGCCGTCTCAAAGTGAGCTGGTGGTATTTTCAAGGGTCAGTGACCCAGCTGTGGACTTGGAAACAACGCCAGCTGACGGTCCCTGGCTGGAAGCGACAGCTGCAGCAGTTCCCTGGAGTCTAGGTGTAGACATCGCCATTTGGAATGCTGTTGGTTTGTACTAGTTTTTTTGCAATAGTGTGTAGTAGTAGTACGTGTAGTAAGTCCTCGGAGAGAGCCTGTTCAGATCTCACAAGCCATAACTTGTAAGGTTAAATATTTCTTTTTCTTTTTAATGCTTCTTGTAGGGACTGGTCTGCTCGGATGACTATGACTGATTTATTTTGATACTCAAGTAACTAATATAAGATTAATTTATGTCAACTTTACTATGTGGCAGTATGTATTCACACAAAATTCCTAAATAAATAATTCTGAACAATATTTATTTAAGAGCTACTTGCAATTTTCTTGCTCGTTCTTCTTGTGATGAACCTGCGTTCCGAATGAGTGGTAGAATAAAAAAGTATGACTCTTCAAAAGTGCTTACATTAAGTTTATTTTAATAAAGATTATTTCTATTTCTTTACTGAATATTGTTATCCTTTTATTTTATTATGATTTTATACGTTTTATAAGTTTTATTTTATATACGGATAGGTTTAAGTACTGAGTTAGACTTGTAATAAAATCTTTTGCACGCATACCTCTATCCAAGAATGCAAACTTACGACAATTCTTTTGCAAATAATTTTATTTTGTTATCGGAACAAATTAATTTTTACTAATATATATAAATGTAAATCTGTCAAAATACTACAATGCACGAGATCGGAGATCCAATTTGAGTACAAGATTGTTCCGGACCACCGCTTAAAGATTATGTATAGTCATAGATTGTAGAAATAAGTTCGATTAGAGATAGCAAATTTATAAATAGTACAATTGTTACATAGTAACACCTTAAGATTAATAGATTTGATAGGGATAAGTTTATAGAGATTTAAGTACTTTATGTTATTATTTACGAAAATGCTTGGATATATAGGATAAGATGACAAATAAATGATTATAATGGTTGTGGTTTCAATCCCCTAAAAAAATAAATAGGTCGGCAAATAGAAACAGAATAGAATATAGTATAAAAAATAGATCCCAAAATACATAGGCATAAACTATAAAAAGGGATCTTTTAAAGTATCATTATGTAATCATTTGTAGATATGTAATAATAATTGTAATGTGCGTTGCGCGGCAGCATTCGTTCGACTGACGCGCGACCTCGCTCTCCCGCGCTATATATATATGAGGGGGAAGGGGAGCGAGGTCATACATTCCGCTGACCGACGCGCTAGCGAACGCACGTATGTGCTCGCTAGTCCCGCCGCCGTCTCGCTGTTCTCTGCTCCCTCGAGCAAACCACCGCGCGCGCGCACGTAGCGCAGTTACGTTCGCGCGTTCTTATTCATATACTTCGCCGCGTGTTAGGTGCACTCGGTGCACCTAGCGTGGCCCGGGGCCTCCGTGTCCCGCGCCGACCGCGGCCGACCGCGCTCTCGGCATCCGTTCCGACACAGTGCTACCGGACTTTCCGCGTGTGTAGTGTTGTGTTGTGAGGACTGAAGGAGAAACTCTCTTCGTTCAAGTGAAGTGAAGTGTTGTGTGTGGACGTTCAGTGGCACGGACTGTCGTGAGTTAGGGAGGTGCGTCACGCCTATTGCGCGACGCGCCGATCCGAGCCGCCGCCGCTGCCACCAACACCCGCCGACGCCTGCTGCCTGCCGCCCGCCGCCGACGCCACCAAGTAGGTTCGCTTAGGTACACATTTTTCACTCAATAAGATTAGTGATCTTACATATTAGGGTCACATATCAATAGGCACTCACCCCCTGCCTCACCCGGCAGGGAGGCCCCCGCTGACACCGTCGGCTGCACCCGCCGACGACCGTCCTTATCTTAAGTACTGACTTACCCTATTGTTTCATTGTATTGTATTGTTATTGTGTTGTATTGTTATTGTATTGTTTTATATTACTATTTCTACTCTTATTCTATTCTTTTGAACAGTGGTAATTAACATTACTACTGTTCAAAAAAAATGTCCTTATCAGAGGCCGATATGCCTCTGTTCTTCCAGTTCCTGGAAAAAAAGTGTCCCGGCATCTTAAATGCTTTTATAGCATTCAAAGCCGCCAAGCCCGTCCACTTAGTGTACAGCTCGCCCCCCGCGTCCCCAATGATGACTCACACTGACGAACCGAACACTGACACTGACGAATTCGAGGACGACTCGCAACGGCTCCCGCCGCTTCCCCCGACCCAAGCCGACCAGGCCGAACCCGCCTCGCCCGCCATGGAGCAGGACGACTCCGTCGCGGAGCTTGACGCTCCTAGTATGGAGCTCGACACCATCCGCGACGGCGACGTCCCCTCTCCCATCCCCCCGGTCTCCTCAGACGAGGACGATTTTATTCTTGTTGGCAACAAGCGTGCCAAGAAGACCCAGGGCTCCCAGCCAGCCAAAACAAAGCGTGCCTATACCGCTAAAACCGCCCCCGGTCCGAGTGCACGCAAGTCGCACCCCGAGACCAAAGCCCCGCCCCCCCGTCATCATCCAGGACAAAAGTGCCTGGAACACCGTATCCAATATGCTTAAAAACAAGCATATCAATTTCAGCCATGCTAAGGCTACCTCAATAGGGATCAAAGTATCAGTCCCATCATCTGACGACCATCGTCGTCTCACCACCTTCCTGCGGGAGAAAAACATAGGTTATCACACCTATGCTCTCGAGGAAGACAAAGCTCCGCGTTGTAATACGCGGTTTACCCAAGGAGCTCTCAACAGACTCCATCCTTGAGGACCTTCAGTCCCAGAATTACCCAGCGCACGAGGTACATCGTATGTACCAGTCGCGCTCACGCAACAAGGCCGCTATCGACCTTGTTCTAGTCGTATTAGATTTATCCCCAGAAGGCAAATCGATCTTTGATATAAAGAGCGTTTGCCAACTATCCTCGCTCTCCGTAGAGGCGCCTCGCAAGCGTACCTACCCCGGACAATGCCACCGTTGTCAGAACTACGGGCACTCTGCCCGTAATTGTTTCGCTCGCCCACGGTGCGTCAAGTGCCTAGGCGATCACGCCACCGCAGATTGCGGCCGTAGGCCCAACACCCCCACGCCCCCCAGTTGCACCCTCTGCCTCACAGAGGGTCACACCGCGAATTACCGCGGTTGTTCACGCGCCCCACGTCCCGCCAAAAAGAAGGCCACCCACACCCAGGGCAACCGTGCTCCGGCACGTGCCCCCGCCAAGGCTCAAACACAACCCGAGCCACTCGTACCCGCCCCTCTGCCTGCTAACAATGCCTGGATTAAACCCCCGGCAATTGTAAGCAAGGTAGCACCCAACCCGCCCGCCCAGAAAGCCCCGCCCGCCCAGTCGGCCCCGCCCGCCCAATCGGCCCCGCCCATGCCCATACACAAACCCGTCCCCAAAACACTGCCCGCGGCCCCCAAGGCCAACGGCAGCTCCCTCGCGCAGGACTTCGCATTGGTCGCTCGCTTAGCCAGCACCATCGACCCTAACGAGATTGCCCTTCTGGCCTCCAAGCTCCGCCTGTATAAGGAGTCGCCCCAAAATAGGCTCGCAGCCGTCTGCGAGCACATCGGCGTACTTACCGCCATCCTCAATTTTAACCTGTAATTATGGGTACTCGAGCTCAGAGAGAAAAGCCTCGGTCCGTTCGAATAGCGTTTTTTAACGCGTTCGGATTAAAAAAACAAAAGGAGGAAATCGCCTCCTTTCTCACTGACCACCAAGTCGATATTCTCCTCGTGCAGGAGACCCTACTGAAACGTTCAGTCCGCGATCCTAGAATCGCCAATTACAACTTAGTTAGGAACGACCGCACCGCCTGTAGAGGCGGCGGTACGCTCATATACTATAAACGGTCCCTACATTGTATACCGCTACAAACACCGCCTCTCACTCATATGGAGGCCTCCGTCTGTCTTCTCGGCATGACCGGCCACCGACCGCTCGCCGTGGCATCCGTATATCAGCCTCCCGGCAAACTACTGCTGGAAAGCGACCTACGCGCCCTCCTAGATATCAACAGCGCCACCATTCTGGCTGGCGATTTGAATTGTAAACACACCCGCTGGAACTGCCACGTGTCCACGACAAACGGCCACAAACTAGACAGACTAGCCGACTCGCTCGAATTCGAGATAATCGCCCCGCTCCGCCCTACTCATTATCCCCATAACGTGAACCACCGACCCGACATACTGGACATGGCACTGCTGAGGAACGTAACCCTACGGGTGAGCTCCCCAGAAGTCCATGCCGAGCTTAACTCGGACCATCGACCGGTAACCCTCCTTCTGGGCCCTCCGCCCGACACGCCACTACCAACCAAAACAATAACAGACTGGCAACGACTCGAGAAATCTCTCGAATCGACCGACACACCGATACTAAACCGTATTCCCGACGTCATAGAGTCCACCGAGGACACTCTCATTGCGATCGACTCGCTTACTAACCACCTGCAGTCGGCAGTCAAGGACTGCTCCAGGGAGGTACCGGCGACGGACGACCGTCGCTGGCAGCTCCCCGATGACGTAAGGAGGTTAATAAGCGATAAGAACGCAGCCACTAGAGCGTACGATCGCTACCCCTCCGAACCGAACCGGGTGCGCCTGCGAGCCTTACAGCGTAGCGTTAAGGAGCGCATCGCGCAGATCCGGGACGGTCGGTGGGGCAAGCTCCTAGAAGAGATAACGCCATGCCACACCGCGTACTGGCGCATAGCGAAATCTCTCAAAACCGACCAACAGACAAACGACATGCCCCCGCTAGTCCGACCCGACAACACTATAGCCTTCTTCGACGAAGACAAGGCTGAGTGTCTAGCGTCCAACTTAGAAGCCCAATGCTCCCCTAGCACGCTCCCAGTCGAGGCAGGTCATCTCGAGAAGATAGACACCGAAGTCGAACGCATCGCGTCCACCCCGCCCACCGAATCCCTCTCACCAGTCACGCTTGATGAGGTCAAAACGCTAGTTGAACAACTACCTATCAAAAAATCACCCGGCTCAGACGGCATATCGAATAGATTAGTCAAAAGTCTGCCATCCCAACTTTTGTTATTACTCGTCGCTATT